AATGATATTTTAAATGTAGAGATTTCCCAGGGCAGTAAATCCTGTGAGACTGTATGTGAAGTCCATGTCCAATCTTATTTCTCTGTCTCCCTCTCTGGAATCAAGAATMCACACTTAACTTTCATCCTCTGATAGTCTTACTTATTAACTTCATTATGGAAACTATTCATTATGCCACAACTTTAATTTTCCTCTGCAGGAATAGGAAAGACAGTGAATGAATTCTGACAAATCTTTCCTATATGCATATATGAAAACACCAGAGTGAATCTCCGCATAATGTGCAACCACAAGAGTGGGATCCATCCTAATTAGAATAAGAAGGAATCCATGTTTGTGTAAATATGTCARAATATAGTCTACTGTCATATATAACTAAAAAGAACAAATTTTTTAAAAAAAAGAAAAAATTAAGTGTTCCAGGTTTTTCAAAGAAGGCTTCTTTTAGTCAGAAAATATTTACATAAATGTGAGCTAGACAATGTCAACTTAATAAATTCAGCTGTAGTCTGACCTATAAGTGTTAAACACGATTCTCTGATCACTATTCATCTTTACCACACATTTAATGGGAAGCTCACCTTGACCAGAACCAGGGATAGAGACCTCTTATATCTACTAAAGAGAAGAGAGTCTTATAATATACATACTTATAACCCTTGCAGCCTATCTGAAATTAAAGCTAACTCCAATCTGTTTATGAACCAAGACTACACATCAGAGTCTCCTGGGGAAGATGCTATTTTCTGCATCAGGGAAAGATGCACAGACACACCTCCCACTCACTTACCCTGGATATGCACATTGTCAATACAAAGTAAGATACTAAAATACTACTAAAATAGGTTTATATGAGGTGAACAGAATCTCTTCTTGGGTAAATTTTGCATCTTGATTTTCTAAGACACTATAATAATGCCGACTTAGAACATTAAAAAAAGTTAAMCCAAGGATGGTTGAATGCCATTCCTGTAATCCCAGAAACTTGGATGCTTAAGCAAGAAGATCACAGGTCCAGGATAGTTGATTACAAGGCTAGGAGTGCGGTTCAGTAGCAAAGTACTCCTAAATTCAATGCCTAGTACACATCCCTAAAAAAGAAAACATATATCCATGTCTTGGTACTCATTAAAAATTTTCAAACTATATTCTGGGAGTCAAGTAAGATAAAGTCATTCATATCTTTTCCATGCAGTGTGCAATCTATTGGCTTCAAATGTAAGTTAATGAAAACAAATTTAAGGCTAGCAGTGTTTCTCAGTGAGAGAGAACTTACTTAAAATGTGTGAGGCCTAGGGTTTGATCCACAGAACTTCCCATATGCMTATTTTTTAAATTAAATTAATGTGAAATAAATTTATAATTAAAGAAAAGGTGTATGATTATCAAAACTTACAAGATAATAAATAAATATTTCTATGCCCTGATTAAAATTAACATAAAATGCTATTACTTATAGAAATAAAGCAGAAATTAAGCAATATCATATACATGTATACACACACACACATATGTGTGTGTATATATATATATATATATATATATATATATAAATATTTATATTTACTTAAAGAGAGGAAGAAGAAGAGTAGGGTTGTCTGAGTTAATATATTAATCAAAATCCTTATCTATATAGCAAGTAATCAATGAATCCAGTCTGAAAAGAATCACTAAATATTTAAATGAAACCATCATCAAGTATTGTGGAATTAAATGTCAGAATATGCATATAGACATTTTCAGGGTAGATATTTTCCAGGGGCTAGAATTGGAGGTTAGACTGATTGGGATCAGGGAAGGTTCCTACCACTGTACCCTTCAATGTGATATTTTCTATTAACATTTGTGTGATGTTACTATTATGAAATTTAAAGTGTGTAAATCTTTCTTATATATTTAAGCAATATGCATTACTAAAACAAATTAAAGTATTAAGAAAAAGTAGTTTTTCATTGTTGATGATTTTCATAAGAAAAAAAAAATTTAAGTCCTTTTTTATTTTTTACTAGACCATAAAAATGATACATATTAATGTGATAGCATGTGATATATTGATACTGGTATATGGTGTTTAATATTCAATTCAGAGTAAACCTATACCCTCAAACATTTATCATTTCTTTACAGTGAAAACTTTCAAAATCTTTTCTTGAAACTTGAAAAAAAAAAGCAAATAGTACATTACATAATCTATAGTCTATGCAATAGAATATCAGAAGCTCTTTCTCCTAACTGTAATGT